GAAGTTTGAATGAAATAAAAACAAAAAAAAAGTTGTTTAGAAAAATTTACTAATTAAAATGTGCATAAATCTAAAGTAATTTTATGTTAATTTCACATTAAAAATGATGTAAATTTGCAGCTCATTGAAGTCAAGAGAAGAAAAAAAATCGCAAAAAAAAAAAAATTAAAACAAATAAAAGAGCATTTACCCGTAAAATATGCAAAATTATAACAACACTAACTGGTTTTTTATTTTCTCATGTTTTCTTTACATTTTCATAATGTAAACAACTTTATTATTAAACTAAATATTTATTTATATTTTCGTATTAAAACCATATCCATATATGCATATGAATGGTTTTGCATAAAAAAGAAAATATTTTCGTTCGAGTAAACGTGATTTTATTAAGATTTATTCTACGTTGCGCCATCTCTCTGAATTCTTTATATATTGTATATATATATACAATACATACGATATATTCATTTATTGTATATTGTAAATAAGTCATTTTTTTTTGTTTTGTTTCTGAAGGTCTATCATAAAACTGTTATTTTGACCTAAATATAATATGTCCGTCTATTTCCGACAACTGTCGACAACTGACAAGTCGATAAATTAATTGATTTGGATATATTTTGTAGAAGTGATGTAAGCACCAAGGATGATTTTATTAAATTTATTATTATTTTCTTTAATAAATTTCAGGAAAATGTATGAAAAATGACAGCCAATAGGAAGTATAATGGCATTTAATAGTAATATTATAACACTTTTATATAATAACTGTTAAACATACCATAAAATTCATTATTAGAAATGATTATTTTAAATTTACATTGGCCGTGGAAACTATATAATGCTTTGAACTTTCTCCCCACAGATTATTAACAAAAATTTCACACGAAATGCGGAATAAAATTAATTAAATAATTAATAAATTAATAAATAATTTAAAAGCTATATATTAGTGCAAATAAACTGTACTTAACTATTAACAATTTTAAGCAGATACTTTCTTCTGAAAGCGTTTTTTTAATAATTATAGAGATTATTTTAACGGACTTACCATATATTGTTGTTTCAAATGAATTCACTATATACTTTCCATAGATTCTTTCTTTCAAAATGAATCAATTATACTTATAGTAACCTTTTTTCATTTTACATCCTTAACATGAATACCTTATATCCTTATTAGGAAGAATAACAGCTAACATTATTCATCCTGATAATAATACATATCGCTTATTTACTTTACTGTTTCATAGTGTCATACTGTTTACTGTTTTTTAAGAAAAAAATTATATATTTTTAAGAAAAAAAAAATTATATTTTTAAAGACAAAAGAAAATAAAAAAAAAATTTTATATTTTCCAAGACCACTGATGATGAGTATTTGGCAATACTCGAAACAGTTGTATGGTCAGCCAAAAATTCAATTAATTAAAATAATATAAAAAATAAATTTTTTTTTGTTGTAGTTCACCATGTTCGAAAAAACCTCTTTCTTTTATAGTTTTAAAAAAGAATTATATGTTTTTCTTTATAATTATATTTTCCTGATTCATTTATAATACATAATCAATCAAACCAGGTTTTTGGCTTTAGGTTTATATTCTTGTTAGATACGTTCTATATAGGGCTTATAGCACCTATATATGCTAGAAATGCTATATAATTATCATATATAATTGCTTATAGTAAATATGTAGTTTGAAACACAACTTTATTTTTACCTGTCAAAACTGACAGGCTTACCAACACCGCGTTATCGAATCTCAGAATGGTTACAGGCTCCTCGGGGAGGTATACAGTTCTGCGGTTAATTATTGCTTAGTCTGATAAAGTGATAAACAATAATCCAGACAAAAGTGATAAACAATAATAATAGAAAGTAAACATAACAACAATATAACATAATAATAAAATCTGATATAAATTTTTATTATTAATTAAACTCCAATATATAATTCAATTATTCCTAATATAATATATACGAATTAATAAATAATTGTATAATATATTGATATCATATCACATTTATATTATGACGAATAAATAAATATATAAATAATGTAATAGTCGGAATATTAACTAATTACTACTGCAACTCAGTTATTTCTAATTAATCACTCTAATTAGAAAAAAATCAAATTTTGGAAACTAATTAATTTAAATTAATTAAAGTAAAGTGAAATACTAAATATTATATAATTTTTCTAAATATAAATTGCAGTATGTCATTTTTTTCTAACAGTTTAAAATTCCACTTTAAAAAATATAACGCAATATTTTGGTAGTCTATAATTAAAAAAATTATAATATACTATAGTGTATGCACGATATTTGCATAAATGTAAAATATTGGAATAAATTTTACTTTTAATAGTAGCACTGCATTGAAAATTATTGGATAGTAATTACTGCAAAGAAAAAAAAACTAAAAAACCTCTTTTTATAATATTTAACCTATATTAAATTGTTAGCACTTTTTTGCATATATGTTAACAATTCAACTTGGCATTAAATAAATAATTTTTTAAAATAAAAAATATAAAAATATAAAAAAATTATTGTCTAAATATGCACATATCAATAAGATGAAATGAACCCACTTAAAGCGGGCAATTACAGTAGAATCTGTATCTGAATTTATCTTAAGCTACAAATCGAACAAGTTCCGCTCTTAATTGCTTAATAACAATTTATTTTCATTTATTTATTATTTTTTTTATTTTTTAAAATTTAGTAAATTAATTTTTTGAGCGATTTTTGCCGGCACTTCAAAACGCGTTGCGATTTTATGACGCTGGCATATACAGCGACACGCAGATATTCCGTTTGGACATTTCAAAATTAAAATAAAATTAAATAAAGCATATCTTTAGATTAATATCACATTATTACGAATATTATTTCAACTTCCCTTAAACATGTAAAATAGTTTAAAAAATGTTTTTAAGAAATATTTATCAGCGAAATGCAAGAATTTGTAAATTTCTACTTTTTCTCACGTGCGAAAACAGAATACTGCGATAATACGCGTACGAAATTGCAGTTGGATTGATTCGAGCAACTTCAGGGTTGAATTATATATGTAATTTTATTGTACCATATTTTATAAATAAATTTTAAAATTATTTAATCGCCATAATTACAAAGTAAAATTAGTTATAACATTAAATGGTGTAGTGAAATTTTTTTTAAATTTTTTAATGGAGATTTTTTTTATGACTATATTATTTTCACGCTTACAAAATATTGATCGCTGACAAAGTGTGAACTGAATGAGACCTGTTAATTAAAAATCATTATTCATACTTATTTTAGAATATTCATAATCTTTAATATGTAACTTTCAATATAGAATATGTGATTTACCCAAAGTAAATCTAATTAATTAATGCTGTCTGTCTAATTAATGATATACATACATATATGCGTCAATAGAATCAATGTATGGAACTTAAATTAAATGTTGCTAAAAGAAAAATATAACCTCTGACGCATGTATTAATTTTAAAGTACTTCATAAAACCTTTCAAAACCCATTTATTATTTAGTTCAGATTACTAAGTGCATCTTAAAAATTTAATTAATTGTTACTGCATGTATTACTGTTTCCAAGAACACTGGGAATAATAGAGTTCCTCTATTATTGTTCATAGACTAGTTACAACTCTGTGGGTAAAATACTATCACTTCAAGTGCATCTTAAAAATTTGATTGATTGTTACTGCAAGTATTACTGTTTCCAAGAACACTGGGATTAATGGAGTTCCTTTATTATTGTTTATAGAGTAGTAAAAAATCCATGGATAAAATACTATCAGTCTAAGTGCATCTCAAAAATTTAATTGATTGTTACTGCAAGTATTACTGCTTCCGAGAACACTGGGAATAATAGAGTTCCTCTATTATTGTTCATAGACTAGTTAAAACTCTGTGGATAAAATACGATCAGTCCCGAAATTAAACAATGTTCATAAAATATATCAATTTGATAAAATATATTATGTGTATGATTCTAAATTGCAGAATTTATTGTAATTATCTTCTAATAATTATTATAAAAGAGCCAAAATTCAGATATATACATTTCAAAAAATATTTAATAATTATTTTCTTAATTAATAATTATTAATATATTAATTAATTATTAATAATTATTTAATAATAACTTTTATAATAAATGGTTAATGAATATGACTTTGAGCTACAAATTTAACAGAGTACTAGTACAACTCTTGGTACTTCCTATCTTAAAAATTAATTATTCGGAACAGTCAAAATTTTTATTTGGCTAAAATTTCAATATGTAAAAGAATAATATTATTGTTTTAACACAAATCTTACTATACAATCATAATTATTATTATAATAAATATTTATAATTTGATTGTTTTTATAGATTATCGACTTTAATTATTACTTAATTTTTATGGACTACCGAGGAACTAACAGTTTCTTACTGGTACTCAAAGAATGGCTATTGAATATTGATTTAATAAAAAACTAAAAATAAGAATTAAAATATTAATGCATATATATATGAGACATATATATATATATATATATAAGACATAAAAAATCTGTAACAAACTAAATTTTATTTTATATATTATATATAAATATATTTATTATTTTATAGTTATTTTTATTATTTTATATATTTATATTATATATAATTATTTATATATAATTATATATATTTATTATTTATGTATATATTTATATCATTTATATATACATAATTATTTATATTATTTATTTTACTTTTGATTCTTCTCTTAAGATCCTTCATTCACATATATGTATATACATTTTAAATCTGATAGCAACGGATATATTTCATTTATAAGATTTAAAATATATTTAATTTTTTTAATAATTGTAAATAATTATAATAAATATGTGTATATTTTTTAAATTTATATATATTTAAATATATTTAATTTTTTAATAATGATAAATGATTATAATAAATTTGTTTATATTTTTTCTATTTGCAGATCGATAAAACTTACAACAAAGCTTCTATATAGCAAAACTATTTTTTTAATATTATTAAAAAATAGTTTAAACTAATTTAAGGACATTTTTCTGTATTTTTTTTACGGGAAATTTTTTTACATTTTTTATCGACTCGATTTCAACGAGCACAGTTTAAAATCCAAAACCGAACTCATAGAATGGTAGAAAGTGATCTGCATAAGAACAAGAGTGATAGTAAGTATTGATTATAAAAGTATAACTATATCTATTTAATAAAACATATTCAATTTTATGTATTTTGTTAAAAAAAGCAAGAGTTCAGATTGTGTATATACATTTTAAATAATATTTAATAATTTATAAGGAAAAGGATTTTTTTAAATAATAGCTTAGTGCGCTGGTAATTCTCACAACAGCAATGAAGATTAATATGTATATATTATAATACGATGAGATAATAAGACTTTTTTTAAATTATTTTGATCTTAGCTACACTACTGAATTTAAGTGATATCGAGGGAGAGAGAGAGAGAAGATTCATATATACCATATTCAGATATTCAGTATTTCAAGATATAATATAATTTCTCTAAAATTAAACACATAATCTATTGTAGATATTAGATGCAATTCCATTTTAAGTATACTTTTTCCATAAACGATTAATATTAGTAAACTATACAATATATTATCAATACAATATATTTTTAATTAATACCTTCTATTATAATAATAGGTTTAGTTCTAATCGTTTATATAAACGAATGCTAGAGAGACTACAAGGCAAAGACAAAATTTCATTTAGTTTTGAGAATTTTGAACCACTATTTAAAATTGTTTGTTTATACGACAGTTTAATTTATTACTATTTTAGAAAAGAATTTATTTTTTATTTAAATTATTATATAGGAGTCTATATAAATATCGCCGACGTTTCGAAGTTTATTTAACTTTTTCTTCAGAGCGGAGGATTATTACCACTCTTGTAATAAGGGTTTTAATAACAATAATAATAATAACACTAAAAACTTTTAATAAAACAAATTGTTTTTCAAATATTTATATAACGTATGTAAATAAGTCTTACAAAGTTAAAAATCTGTTTTTATGAATGAAAAATTTTAATTTTTTACTGTAATTAATAATTACGAATAACAGATTTCCAGATGAACAAAAAACACTTAAATGTGGTAACAAAAAAAAATATAGATATCCGGCAGTTATTATTAGAAATAAATAAATTTATTAAAAATTTGTTAGAAATTTTGCATTAAATTATTTAATAACAAATAGCAAATAACAAATTTTGTAATTTCCTATCATTGCAGCTGTTAATGTAGAAGCGGGTCTACAACCAAACTACAACGTCAGTGCCAACAACTCAATTGATAATCGCGCCATCTTACAGCCATACTCACTAAATACTAGTGAGAAAGATCCTGAATATCGTTTTGCAGCAGTCAACGAAGCCTATGAAGGTGACAACACCACCAACAATGGCAAGCATGACGTAGAAAAAGGTAGTAACGCTGTTGTTGCCTCAAATGGTGGAGGAGGCAATGGCGGTGGTAATGGTGGAGGTCGCTCCACAACCGGCATACGTGCTGGTTTCGAGCAAGCCATTGAAATGTGTGGCTATGGCAAATTTCACTACATTTTACTCGGTATCTGCGGTTTAGTGAGCACCAGCGAGGAAATGGATGTTATATCCATGTCTTTCATCCTACCCTCAGCACAATGTGATTTGAACTTGAATACATCTTCAAAAGGTTGGCTCAACTCGATTATCTTTATTGGTATGATGGTTGGTGCATATTTCTGGGGTAGTATTGCTGATTCTGTTGGCCGTAAAAAAGTGTTGATTGTCATATCCTTCATGAATGGTTTCTGTATTGTTGCATCGTCATTTTCGCAAACCTACGAATGGTTTATGTTGTTTCGATTTCTAAATGGAGCGGCGTAAGTATAACAATAATTTTTTATTAAACAAAAAAAAATCAAAAATCATTTGTTTAATATAAACAAAACTTTCATAACAATCATGAAAGATGACTTTAAAAAAATTTCAAAATGTAGCCATGATTCATACAAAACACAATGAAAATCACAAAAAAAAAAGACGTGAACTCTTTAACGCTAATTTAATTAACTTAAGTAAAAATAATATACTTGAATACATAGTGGCGAGGATGCTAATTAATATTTTAAATACAAAGTGGTTGAGAGAAGTACGAAAATACTACAAGGAGAGGGCCAGCACGTTGCCAATAATCGTTGCTATTTCGCAAACAATCAAACTGACTTAATGACAACAGCTTCAGAGTCCGTATTTTTGGAAGATTTTTCATTTTTTTTTCGTCTCTGAAATTGTGTTTTGGTATGTTTTAATGGGTGATCCACACGTACAGACGTAGTTACTACTCGCAAAATATGAGTAAAATTTGTGAATTTTTTTATCAACACGAGTTCGCTAATTAACTTTATTTAAAGTTTAACACCCAAGCACAGAATAAACATAAAATATTTACGAAATTTGCTCTTAAATATGACAAATAGTTAAGGTATTCTCTTAAACGAATTCTTATACCCTACACTGTAAAATGTTAAGAGTTGATGATACTCATTTAGTATATCTTTCAAGGTTGCGATTAGAAATCAGGAGATTTTAGAAAATATATATATTGTTAATTATTAGGTTCATTATTATCATATTATGATCATTATTATATTTATTCATTTAATATAAAAGTCTTCTATTATCTAATAGACAAGAAATAATTTTCTAGTCCTGTATTAATTATTCATAGAGCATAATATATAACTAATTTAGAAAATATATATAAGTCCAAATATACATAAGTCTAAACTAAAATGGGGCATTCACTTGACCTGCTTTACTATTCCAATAAGAGATCCCGAAAGTCTTTTCTTTGTTTCCTACATAGACAATGAAGTAGGCTAGTTTCAACAAAGTTTTTATTTGGTAAAAACAATAAATATACCTAATGGTTCATAAAAAATGTAAGGCACTCAATTAAAGGTGACTTTAGTTTTCTTTTTAGTGAAGGTAGGTTATTGTCTGGTATTTTTCATCTTCTTTATTTAGGTTTAAAAAACCTATTAATATAGGTTCAGTATATAACCGATCTCTAAGTTTTTATAAGAACCTATTTCCTACACACTTTATTTGTGGTGACACAAATAGCTTTCTTTCCGAAAAATCATAAAATGATTGATATTCATCTCTTCGACAAAATTTTGAATCACAGAAGAGAGTTTTTCATTTTCTCGGATACTCGCCAAAAAGCATATTAGTGATTAATATCTACATCCTTATAGGTATCCACTTTCTTAATGGATTGACATTCCCAATTTGTATATTAAAGACAATATCCGATATAAAAAATAACAATTTTTTTACAGCTACAAAATAAATATGGCTCTAACCGTCAGGTAATCCTCTGAGTTTCCATTTTTACTTAGCATTCTTTTTTCACATTACTAAATTTATTCTTAAATTCCATATTCGAGTTGTAGCTACCAGAATGAACTTATTATAACCTATTTAGCACCTCAATTGTAAGACTCGATTGCATAGTAAATAACAAATTCTTATTAACTCATTTGTTTACAAACATTATTGTACGATTAAGTAAGAAAATTTAATTATTTTCGCAATGATATACTATTTATAAGCCATAAATATTTACAATTAGTATTTACAAAATAAATATAAGAAAAATCTATAAGGCCTTTCATAGAAAGAATAATTATCTTTGCAACTGCTCTTAAAATTTTTAAATTAAAATTTAAATACAAAGTGGCGAAAGCTTGTTTTAAATAATATGTATATACATTAAATTCCTGTGATCTCGATTATATATATATTATTCGTAGGTCGTGAGGAGAAAGTAAGAGATGACGCCTATTAAAACTCATTTCACAAATTAAGACAATTCAGTTAGGGAAATTGAACTCTTTTTTACTTTTACTTTTAGAAATGACACATGTTTTTTAGCTTTATTTTAAAAACAAATGCAAGAGAACATCAAATAATTCTACGCCTAGAAGTCGAGAGAGCTCTATTATATTTTTAGTCTTTGCTTCGCTGGAGGTGATTTCTCGATATGATTCTACACTTTTTTTTGAGGAGTCATAGGTGCATTACCATCCTTAGAATGTGAGTCTATCTGTTCTAATCACAATTCCTTGTGGCTATCCGGCTATCCGATTTTGATCAAGACAAGATAGAAAATACTGGGCATAAAGCTCATAGCCCCATCTGCTATTAACAAATAAGCTTTTGTAAAAAAAAAAACGCCTTTTGTTCAGTTAAAGTCAACCATATCAAAAAAAGTCTGTTATAGTCACAGGGCACGACTCAGATAAAAACTTAGAACGCTACCATATTATTTTCTACATCTATAAACCAAAAAATATGTTTGTGTCTATTGCACAGAGTAATTAAATAATTTTGCTATTTTCTTTTTAGGTTTTTTTTTATTTTTTCGATATTTAATCTAAGTATGTAATTTAATCAGACTTCAAAATATATATTAAACACCACCACCACCACTTTACTTATCATTAAACTTACCTAGGCAGCTTTATTAAAAAAAATTATAGTTATATCTAGACATAAATAAATCATACTCGTATAGTTTCATTTATTAAACTAACATATATTTCAAATTTTTCCATTTACTTTAGAAACCATATATATAATTAATGTTGTTTAATTTCTTTACAGGCTTGGCGGTAGTGGTCCAGTTATTTGGTCATATTTTGCTGAGTTCCAACCGAAATCGAAACGTGGCTCCATGTTAAGTTTCATGGCTGCTTTCTGGACATTTGGTAATCTCTTTGTTGCTGGGTTGGCTTGGCTGATAATTCCTACCAAAATTGGCTTCATCACTCCTCTATTAACCTACAACTCATGGCGTATTTTCTTGATGGTCTGTTCCATACCATCTTTCATTGTAGCATTCCTACTTTTTTATTTGCCTGAATCTCCAAAATTCTTATTAACCAAAGGTAAACATGATAAAGCTATGGCTATTTTCCGTGGCATTTTCGTTACAAATACCAAAAAAGCACCCGAATTATATCCTGTATCAGAATTGGACATTGACGAGAAATTATTGGCTGAAATTAAAGAAAATCAAAGTAACGTGAAAAGCAAATATAGTAAAATGATGAGCGGCATGGCAAATCACAGTAAACAGTTATTTTCATCGCCCATACTTAAGTTTACGCTTATTTCTATTATAATCAACTTCACATTCCACATTGGTTATTATGGTCTTATGATGTGGTTCCCCGAACTGTTCAATCGTTTCGAAGAGTACAGCTCAACATTCCCTGATAAACGTGCCGGTGTCTGTACTGTAACCGATTATGTGGTCAATATAGCACATCATGAAAATGCAGTATGTTCATCACACATTCCATCATCAGTTTTCATGGAATCGCTGATATCTTTAGCATCAGCTCTGCCAGCTAATTTAATAGCTATTTTGGGTATGGACTTGCTTGGTCGTAAATTCTTCTTAATTTTCGGTACAATGACGGCTGGTGTCTGTTCTGCTGCTATGTACTTCGTCTTTAATTCCACACAGAATTTAATTGTTTCCGCTGTATTCAGTGGTGCGATTTCTGCAGCCAATGCTGCGCTGGATTGTTTGATTACCGAAGTATTTCCAACACATTTACGTGCTACAGGTGTTGCTATTTCCATGGTGGCAGCACGTCTTGGTGGTATTATTGGTAACATTGTGATTGCTACATTGCTGGATCAATATTGTCCAGCGCCAACATTCATTGTCGCGGCTCTGTTGATCGGAGGTGGCCTTATGTGTCTGTTCTTGCCCAACACCACGAAAAAAGAATTAAAATAAGAAATTGCAATGTAGATAAGAAAACTAATATAAGATGGAACGACCACTTGTTTCGTTAGGATTGTTGTAAATTATAGTAATAAAGAAAATAACAAATACAAATATTAATATAAAAATACTATAAAATAAAATAAATAAATGTAAAAATAAAAATACATATGTTGTTTTAATATTTATAAATCGTCATGAAATTAAAAAGGTAGACTAATAATAAGGTAAATTTTTTATTTGGTTTCGATTCAAAATAGTGAAATCATTATAGAATGTAAAATGTACGATTCTTCCTATTAATCGGACACATTTTATCTAACTAGAGTTTATTTTCCAACGAAGTTTGAGATACACTTCATTAATATATTTTATAAGATAACTGCCAACTATCACAACTTACATTCAAGACGAACTCACGATTACACGACAGTCTTCAGCTACAATAATTAAAACTATCACTGTAGCTTAATTATATGAAATACAGTGGCTAATGATGGTAACAAAATTTTTACGCAATATTATAGAAATCCATTAGCTCAACTTCATTTTTGACATTTCAAGGTAATGTAGCACTCAATATATATATTAAATACTACGAGTATCGACTGCAAAGTTAAATTCCCAAATAGTAATAAATAATTATTTCCCTGTGACAGCTCCTGTAATGCGTGTCTACCAGCTATCGAAGAAAGTACACCAGAACACTTGCTGTTTCTATGTCCAGGCTTGGCCAGAAGTAGGCTTATGTTTCTGGGGGTCCCCTTCTTTAACACACGCGAAGTATCACTCGGAGCCTTAGTTCTAGCTTGATCTTTTATTTACTACCTATCATTAGGAAACGACTTTCTTATCTAATTGAGAATAATTCAGTCCTCCTTTCACCACAACTATCTAACTTTACTACTTTTTAGAGGTTTGTTTTGAATTCTCGGAGTATATACGCAAACTATTCATGCACATAATCAGGACGTCTTGTTGGGCTTAATTTTAGATATTTTTGTCAAATTTTGAGCCAAACATATAAAGTAATATATCTGTTGTTGTTGTTGTTGTTGTGATTTGTTCTGTTGTTGTTGTGCTTAGTGTGGGGCAGGGAAAAGCTTTAACTATACTAGAATTTTTATCATTTATTTATCTTTTAACTGATGACGGACCGTAGATCAGCATATCTTCCTGTGCGTCCTGAGTTGGACTTAAGGTTTGTTAGGGCGGGGTTGGGCAACGTACCAACTTTTGTGATTAATTTTAGGGCTCTGTCCTTGAAATATTTTTTTCACTGAGTCGATTCTTAGATCTCTAGTCATGTCTGTTGTTCTATTTTATTTAGGATCGTATTTTTCCACCGCCATCTCTAAATCTGAAAATTTATTAGTTATATTTATTCTATTTGGATACAGTGATACACATAATTTATGCCTATTTTCGATGCCTGCTTAGGAGAAATGCCAATAGGAAAGGTAATTAAATAAAAATTCTAAATTTTTTTCTATATTATAATATAAATATAATTATTACTGGTTTGAGGTACGTGTAAATATGATATCTGTATCTCTACAGATTCGAAGGATTGCTTCAGTACCATTCAGTGCGAATGGTAATGGCTTCTAAAAAAGCATTATTAAATCACATGTTTTCAAATACAGAAACTACTCCAATTATTCCTTTTGAGGCAAATTAAACTAGAATAACTCATTTTCTTCTGAAGTCCAACTAAGTTAAACACTATATACGAACATTCAAATATTAAAACACATCTCAAATAATAGTCTTAATTGAATGAAAATAAATAACTACAGACTTGTTCACTTGTGCAGTGAAACAAATAGTTGAATGTATGAAGTTAAAACTCCAATATCAAAATGCCGGAAGTTTCGAACAGGTAGATTAATACATAAGCTTTATATTTCAGTTGAAGCTATCTACCTAAATTGTATTATTTTATTTATACAATATTTAAAACATGTTTAATACACAATGTTTAAACTAAATATTAAAATGTTCGAAAATTCGAACAGCTGAAATATATAATATTTGAAGCTCTAATATGCATTAAAATAAAGTTATAATAAAAATAACTTATCTACCTAATTTTTATTTTTTCTGTATGCAATAAAATAGTTTAATACGTAAAGTATGTACTCGAATATCAAGATGCTGGAAATTTCGAACAACTAAAAAAATATTTAAAACTGTAATAAGCATTATAATTCACTTGAATTGAATCTTTCAACCTAATTTTTATATTTTGTGTACACAATAAAATAATTTAATATATAAAGTTCATATTGGAACATCTAAATAAATAATATTTAAAGATTTAATATAATACAGTAATAAGCTATTTACTTTACTTAATTTTTTATATATGTAATAAAATTGTTTAAGAGATGAATTGTACTGTAATCATGGACATATATACAATTACAAAAAAAAATATATATATACTTTCTATACTTACACATAAAAAATATTTTAGATATGATTTAGAAACATGTTTTATATAATTTTTAATAATTGGGGTTTTTATTTCTTCTTTTTAACTTTTTTTATAATTACTTATTTTAAAATTATTTTTATAATTTTTTAATATATACGTACTTTTTATCATTATATATATCATTTTTAATTTTATACGAACTATTTACAATTAAAGCATAGAAGACCTTTTTAAATATAATTTCTTTTTTGTGTTAAGTTTATATAGAAATAATAATTTTAAAACGTTTTTCTTTTTAAATTGAACTTTAATTTTTTTATATTTTTAGCAGTTTTTATTTGCAAACTATAATAAATAAAATATTTATATATTTTTTATATTTATTGAAATTTGTTAGCGAATTTTGTGTTTATTACTGCACTTGTGTGTAAGGAACAAAACAAAAACATTATAACAATTTTTGCACATATGAAGACAAAAAAAAATATAAAAAAAAAATTATCTAATTATAAAATAGACATTAAACTATTATTTTTGAAAGAAATAAAATTAAATTAAAAATTAAAAAGTATTTTGAACAAAAATGATACATACTTAAATAATAATTTAAAGAAATGATGCAATCATTTTTAATTAAGAATTCCATCTAATAATTATTAATTATTTTTAACTAAATAAAATTTTGTTAACTTAATAAAAATGTAAATCTTAAGGCGCAAAACAACAAAAAGCATACAGTCGGTTAAAATATTAAATAATTTTTTCACTACTTAATTTGGTTACCTTAAAACTTAAATATAAAAATATACTTACTAAACTTGAATATTTATATATTTATAACTATAATCACTCAGCTGTTCTTTATGAATTTAGTTTACTGTTTCCTTTTTTTTTTTTTGCTTGTTGTAAAGAAATTTTATTTTATACAGTTTTTGCATAAATACAAATATTGGATCACGGAAATTTTGTATCTAAATATGTTTCGAAACTAGAATTTTGTTGTTAACAACTGGCCAAGTGATTTATAGATATTTATGTATATAGGTGTGTTTGTGTAATGTGATTGTGTACAAGGATGAATGGATGTGGGCTTAGAGTGGCGTAGGTAAGTGATGTCATCTGGCTTGTTTTGGTTGTTATATATTTTAAGATGTTTAGTGCTTGTTTCGCTCTTTCGCTTGTTTTTTGTTTTGAATTAATTTTTGTTTTTTTTTTTTGTGTTTGTTAACAAAAATTGTTAACGTTTCTTGCCAATTTATAAAATTGTACGTTTAAATATAAAAACGAAAAATAACATTAAATTTAGTTCATCACTTTGCTTCTTTTGTGGGACCTTAATTATCCAACCAAGATTCGCGTCATTCTGTATATTCCCACCAGTCTTTTTCATAGCCTTCGTGAACATGATCTAAGAGGACTTTGCGGCGCTTCTCACAGTATCTGTAATAGAAATTACATTTTTATATTAATTTATATTAACGTAATTTACTTTTGTATTTTTTATTTAAACTATTATTGTATTTTAAATTTGATTTTAATGTCTATATGACAGTAGTGACTATTTTTACTTTAACAGAAACTTTCAAAGCCATTGGGCCTATTTACACTATCATGAACGTGAGATGAACTTGACGACAACATGAACTGTCAGTTCAGTTTACACTATCATGAACTCTCATGAGCGTGAAATTTATAAAATGCTCACGTATAAAATGCTTGTGTGTAATAGTGCAGAGCACAGAAATTGAGAAAAATAGAGAGTATTCAGCATTAAAAGATAAACATAACATTGCATATGTATGCGTGTCAAGCTGAAGAAACGCAGCAAATTTCATTGCGTGAAATTTATGAACTAACATCACACTCTCTTTCCTCTCTCATCTATCAGTAACCGGTTTTCAAGTTCATGTTCATGTTACGTTCATGATAGTGTAAATAGGCCAATTAGTGATGAATAGTTGGGAATACTCGATACACATATATATGCAGTCCAAAATTCAATGAATTAAAAATATAAAAAAGAATTTTCGTTGAAAACATAACTACTCATCATGTGAGAAAGAATAAATTTGAAAGAAAAGCTTTTAGAGAGAAGGATTACAGGAACAAAGAAACTGAAAAATTTAGGAAAACTATAGCTACATTGAGTTTAACCTGCCTTAATGGTTAAATCTCATTCAATTTAGGTAGGACAAATTCTATTACATCATATATTTGCTCTATACATCTTTTATCTCTTCAACTTTTCAATATACTAAAGCCTTTACGTAAAAACGACAGAATCAAAAAATAATATAAAATAAGATAGTTTCATTTTAAGGCTCTTATCAAAAGAAGAAAATTAAGAAAATTTTTAAAAATTAAGGTTTTCAAAGGAATATTCGAAATGAAGTATTACATAGAAAAATATGAAGAAAATATTATCTATAAAAAATTAAGATGATTTGCCCAACATATTGAGATGTTAAGATATTTTTATATGTTCCAGATGGAGTATAACATTTCTCACCTACCCCTCTTTCCAAAATCCTAACTCAAACACCAATAAATTTTATTACTTCAGAAAGCCACGAGTTACAAATATTATTGGAACAGAATTCTTTAATGAGTGTAGATGTAAGAGAGAAATAGTCACACTAACTTGGTAGATGAAGTAAAGACTCTATTATACCTTAAACATGGTATATTGAAGTATCTGGGCGTCAAGGTACTGTCATCTTAACAAGTTTCCTATATACAGTTAGAGACCACAAAACCAAAGAAACACAGAATGAAATAAAGTAGTAATATTCTGTTATTGTGTTAAGCCTTTTCCGAATTAGTGCATCTGGGCACTTTTACTCTATGATAGCTGGGGGGATTCTGTAGAGTACCGCCCATCTCACTGATTAATTTGAGTATTCCTGATAATCTTCGTGATTATTCAATGATTGATCTAAGATCTGCGTACCGCTCCGTGCGGTTAGTGATTACTCTGAGATTAGATAGTGCTAAGTAGGGTAGCCTGTTGGTTTTCGCATTTAGCTTCAGAGCTCTGTCCCTTATGTATTTCTTGACCGGATCTATTCTATGGTCTCTTAGCATATCATTCGTGCGGGTATATCATGGTACTTTGAAGAGCCTTCGGAGAGCCTGACTTTGAGCAACTTGTAGCTGTTGGATAGTAGAGTCGGCAGCTTTGCTACACGCGACTCACTCATAAAGTAGTAATATTATGTATAACAAATAAAGTTAGAATTATTTCCAGCCAGAGCAATTTTTAAATAACCATAAGTTTAAAATATTTGCATAAATATAAAAGCTATGTAAATGCATATAAATTGTTCTAAATTATTACTTCATACGAGTATTTAAATAATTAAATATAATATAATTACCTATATTTATCTTGCACTTTTTGCTTGATATCTGCCAGATTTTCTGAGGTTATATCACGTTCCAAATATTCAGATAACTTCTCGGTCGCTGACTCTAAATCTTTCTGGTTGTCCTCAAAAATCATGGATTGATTGTTTCGTTTAAGATAGTAAGCAAAAACATATGTGTACATTAGTGTTTGGCGGCATTGGCAGAGTATATCAACAGCCTTCTTTAAAAATTGTACCTAATGAAAATTTGTAAAAATTATTAGTATTTCTAAAAAAAAAAATACTTTTAGCAACTTACTTCAATCCAAGACATATTGTGTTGTTGCATTTCCTCCATTTTATGCTTAACAGATGCATATAATTTATTTTCAAACTTTAAAGACTGCATATGGTTCATATAACGGTTATAATAATGTAAATATCTAAAAGAAAAATAATAAGAAAATAATTTATAAAAATTAAATTGAAAAGTTTTAATATATTACCTAGCCAACGACGAACGTAATTTTTCCTGAGCATCACGTGCTGCTTTTGCTTCATCCTCATCATAACGATTACAATTATACCAAGAAGAGCCATGAGGTTCCCATGAACCCAAACAAACCCAACAGAAATCATGCTTACAATTTTGATTTTTGCATACCATATGATTGCAACCGCCATCTTTTTCAATAGTTACATTACATTTTGGGCATTCCTTAGTATTGGCTGCAATCCAATTTGAGGTCTCTGAATCATCATCACATTTTTTAATCCATTTCTTTAACCAACGACATTTAACAGGATCATGCCAATTTTCACCGCATGTGAAGCAAAAAGTATGTCCACAATTACAACTCACCGGTCGCGTTTCAGCGTAGGGCACTTTAATGGCGTATGTACAGTCGATGGACGGACACCAACGCAATAGCTGATTACATTCAACAAAACTATTTGTAATTAATTGTTGATATTTAACTTTAACTTTTTGGTCCGGAACTAGTTTTGTTACAGTAACGTCATCGACTATAATATCACAGCCATGAGCTGCACATGAAATGGACTGCCCAATACCTTCAGTAACAATTTTTGTTGAGAGATATTCACGCCAACAAGCTAAACAAAACCGATGACCACATTCCAAACCCGTCATTGACTAAATTTATAAATAAAAAATTTTATTATTTTTTTTATGATCAAAAATATTATATAATAATTTATGAGCGGACTAAATGGTCTTTTAAATAAAAATAAAAAAAAATATAATTTATTATTTATCTTTAAAACAAATTTTTTTGTTAAGATATTTTCCGATTCTTCGACTATCTTTGACTATCAGTTTCACCGAAGATGACTATCGAAGATAGTCGAAATATCGGAAAAAATCTTTATAAAATAATTTGTTTGAAATATAAATAATAAATTAGTTTTTTTTATTTTTATTTTAAAGGCCAATTAGCAAATAAATAAATAAAATATATTTATAAGATAATAATAATAAATAATAAATAGAATTATAAACAATTATATTATAATTGTAATAAGTTTCCTTGAAAAATTATTTGATGTTTACGGTGCATATATACCAAAACTAAGGTATGCAGAATCTTGGTTTGAATCTTACTATGTGGTTAGTATAGAATTAGAATTTCAAGTACTACTACAAATCTACATATTCATTGGTAATTAATACGTCTATGTGTAGGTTTCGACGACATAAATTAACCTGACCCAACCTAATTAAATGATTTTAAATAAAAGTTAATTAAAAGTCTATTAATAAAGTGTTTTGATTACATTTTTGTAATTGTTCTACACTTTCACGAGCACGTCCGTTTGACAACGAATTTTAGTTTGCTGCCGTTTTTGTATTCAATGTTAAAATTGAATACACTAGTTAACATGAGCAGCGTTTTTGTTGTTAATACAATCAATGTAAAATCTCAATGTTGATATCTCGAGAAAATAACTGTATCGCTATAAACTCAGAAGGAAAGTGGTTAGAATATTCCCGAGGAAGAGCATGCGTGCTGTAAGAGACCACTAAAATCCCGTAGGCACCAACCGACACCAACCGATACGTCCGAACGGAGGAGTAAATTTAGTACCAGGAGGATCAGAACAGCTTTGACTGTCTTACATATTAGAGGTTTGATCCTCCAGCGGTTGGCGCTCTAGTATGGTGGCTGTGGTTAGGCCGCCACGATAGAGAGGCGTATCCAAAGTTAAGCGGCGTAAGATGACTGCATTCAATTATTTTTATTTAATGTGAAGTTACATTTTCCAACTCGGAACTGCTGGTGTGTTGGACTTACTCCCTTTCAAGGAAGAATCTATATCCAAACGAATAGCACAATTGGTATCGACGGAGGACATTTATCTGTTGTTATCTGTTACTGTTGTTGTTTGTTGAGAGCAACGTAGTGTTAAGTGTTTACGGCAGGAAATCAGGTTAAAAAACCTGATAATAAAATCTGTTTTTAAATTGGCAAGTCCGGGAAATCGCTATCGCACCAATTAAGAAAATATAATTTCATTTTAAGCCATCACTAAAGTTGGTTATAGTGTATTTGGTCTATATTTCAGCTCTTAACAAAATATCTCGTTAAAAAATGTAACATTTTGGCTGAATAATAATAATATCAAATTTGTCGCGAGGTTTTTTAAACAAAAAAAAATTAAAATTCATACACAAATTTGAATACGTATACAGAACTTTCTGTAAATAAAATGGGTCTTAATAGGCTTGATTTTTTTTCTGTCGAGGTATATGTATATATATACATAGAAGTTATCTTTCAAAGTAAACGTTTTTCTGGCAATATAGCCCCTTTCTGCCTTAATATAGAAGTTTGTACAATCTAAAAACATGTGAAATGACTATTTTAGATCATTGGCCAGCTTTTTGGAAGGTATTTACGACTATAAGTCCATTATTTTAAAAAAAAGTAAAATTCGCACGGTGCTATATCAGGTGAACGGAGTAAGTGGTTCACTTTACTAACGCTTGTAGTAACCAATAATTTTAAAAGTAATATTTACTTTCAAAAGCTAGTTAAATTTTATAAATAAATTTTATAAGAAATGAATCAAATGTAGCGCATATAAATAATGGATGTTTTTCATATTATTTCTTTTTTCTTACATCAGGCGGCAGTAGAGTAAAACATATTTCACACTCCTCTGCATGGCTTCGATTACTTATCTATAAAACAAAAATATTATTTTTTCATTTATATGTTTTATATATAAGTAATTTTTAACTCACTCTTTGTCTAGCTGGTGCAGTAGGTTTCTTAAAAGGATTCACAACATGAGCACTTTTGAAAAAGTCTTCAGTATTTTCATCAAAATATTTTTCCAACAGCTTTTCCTTGTCCCATTTGAAGTGATTTAGTAGAATACGAACAATTGTTGGTGAAAGCTAAAAGAAAAAAGCATATAATAAAAAAAATTATATATTGTTAAAAATAATTTATATTTAATTAAAAAAAAAATATTTAAACGACTTTAATACGCAATAATTTAAAATAAAATAAGGTGATTTTTATTTATTATTTCTTAGAAAAATACTAAAATTGTAGCCTAATTAAGACTAACTAAAAATGTAGACTAATAATATATGAAACATGTGAACAGAGCACAAACTCGTAATTATTTTAATTCTGTAAATAAATCAATTTCTCAGAATTACATTATTAGAAATATGATAAGCTGATTTTTAAAATTACTTTATCAATTTAAGTTGTAATATTTTTATATGATTCTAACTATAGTTTTATTTTCCATCAAGGCTTCAATAAATATAAATTAAAAGCAGAGACTTATATAGCAAAAATATCCAGAATAATAAAAGGATATAAAAAATTTTGTCTATTGATGTAAAAATTCCACATATATAGAGAAAACATCTAGATTTTAATGGACCTAGAATATTCATTAATACTAAAGTTCACGTGTGTGGAGAAATGATTCAAATTTGAATTTTTCACCAAACTTCACCATCACATCGATCCGTGATCCGTTTTTTCTTAGCACAGTAAGGTTGAATATGAATGTGGACTTCAAGCCTTCCACACAAACACAGTATCCTCTTCGAGACTAAGATTGTCAACAAGCCCTCGCCTAACATTTTTTACTAAGAACGACATCTCCCTCGTGCAGCCTCAATTGTGCTAATTCAAATGAGATCAGAATATGGCTGAATGCTAAACTGTTACTTGTCATGCATAAATACTTCTATACACAATATATGCCCAAGCTGCAGCTCTACCCCATATGAAGTCGCTCATCTGTACTCTTCTGTATAACAATAGTAATATTAAGATGAAGAATATTCATCTTTATATATATATGATATATCTTCACAAAAACTGTATTAAAAGGACCACATACTATTTCAGGTAAATTATAATAGTAATAGGTAATACTAAGATTTTTTAGAGTTTATCTTGTGCTTCCTATGGAAAGAACCATGCAATTTGTTGTTTTATTTTTTTTTTTTTAATTTTCATACAATCCATTCACTAGATTCCAATGCAATTGTATTTGTGCACACAATTACTATAAACATTTCATTATATTGGAATAAACTAATGAGAAGATTAGTTTCTGATCACGACAAATAGATTTTGGATGCAGTTGGATCTTTATCTTAAAGTCAATCTTTTACACAAACGACTAAATGAAGCAGACTTTTGATATAAAGAACTCAAACAGAAGAACAACTGTCTGGGCGAGAACGACAGAAACTCTTTGGTATAAGCCATTATGGTATGTGTTGCGCAGGCAATGTATAAGCTGTTAGATAAATAGATTTTGGAAGGGTTAGAAATTATGTCACTACGTTAGTGCATCTTTTGAGGATTATTGTGACAAACCCACTTTAGTTTCATAGGTGTGTAGCAGTTAAAAATCCCATTTTGTCCCTTGAAGAAATGTTTCCATTATAAGTGGATAGGCGGTTAATAAGTACGAAAGTCTGAGTCTGGCAAGACTATCACAGTGACACAGCTATCGTTCCTTGTAATACTTAGATTCCGTAGAAACCCTGTGACAGATCGGATACATTAGTACTAATACCGTTATGCTAACTTATAATTATTATTATTATGGGAGGGGTCTAAGTATCGCGTAGACCAGAGCACTGTAAAACTATTATACGTTTCGTACGAATGAATATCTATTAATTAAAAATACAATTTTTTTTGTATTAAACACATTAACAAACCTAAAAAAATACTAAAAAGAAATAAAAATGGATTTAGCAATTCGCTCTTTCACAATTCAAGCTATTTATAGAGCCCCAACATCGCTAATAATGTTCAGGAAGTATATATAATTTAAGTTCAGGTATATGCAATTAACTTGAAATGGCTTTTCTATAAAAATAAATTCTAAAATCTTTAACAAAAAAAATAAAAATATTACAAATTAATAACACCAATTAAGTTTAACTGAAAACGATTTAGGTCATGGAGGGAGGTTAATGCAAATAACGAGGAAATATCTTTTGCATAGAAGCACTTTTTGTCAGAAGTACTCGTTGTTTTTAGCTTGAGAGCTGCACATAACAGTTTCCATTTTTATGGTAGAAGGAGAAAGTTTACACATGAAAGCATTAATGCATGCACCAGAGTAACCTTCAACTTGGAGGTCATTTACAATTTAACACAACACATAAATGCATTTGATGCATGCGCATCTCTCATATATTTCACCATTTTAGCTGAGGATTTAGAAGCAGTCAGTGGGGTGTGGTGTAAAGTTAAGTGTATAACTAACAAATAAGTATTTTAAATCTTTTAATCTGAGTAAATTAAATGTGAAAATTAAACAGCAAATTTATTGATTTTTATCTTAAAAGGGTATTCAGAACGTATGAAAACAATGTAAAATTATATTTTTTAAATCATATTTTTCATTTCATCCATTTACCATAGAATGCGAAACTATTTGTTTAGAATCATTTTAATTTTTATTTATTATACATTAAGTACTTATTATTACGTATATATAGTATAAAAGCGAAGCCCTGCAAATCTCTTAAACAAAACAGCCTCCAACAATGTAAGCTAAATTTAGCTGCTTTTTTTTGTTATGATATCATTCAAGAAAATATACTACTGCGATTCTCGTTTCGCAAAAAGTAAAATAAAAAAATAATGCAGTAAATGACTCAGCGGTATTCGCATTTTTGTTTATAAACAATATTATTATTTCCACCATGACAAAATGCAAATATTTTCCTGGACACAACAAAATTTATTGCGAAAACTGATTAGAGAAATTTCATATTTCATATGCGACAGCGCGTTTATGAGGCGAGAAGAATGCTCCGATGCAATTTTCTTTATGATCAGGCAAGCACTTAATTGAAGAGGTTGATGAAACCATATAAAAAGATAAGAAATATTAACCATTAAAGTATTTTTACTTCAAAAGCACTATAATCACATAGGAATGAACATCAAAAATCTTTCAAAAAAAAAGTGTTACATACAGAAAAACTATGATCTAGACTAGCGTTTTGGATGTAAACAAAAAACTCTGTTCTAGACAATTTTTTGATGTAAAGGAATTTGCCAACTAAAAGAAATATTTACGGTAGACACCATACGGATACTAATTCGGATTAGAGAGAAAATATAATGTAAGCTTAAGATTACACAAGCTTCATATATTAGCTTTGAAAATCAAGAAAATGGTGTTATTTATTAAGGAAAAACATGTACATAGAAAGAGATTTTACGCAGAATTTTTGGAGTGAAGTATAACAAGTATGCGAACCACACACTAGAAACTAATACAGCTGACCTATTATAGATTATTGTAAAATATACCAAATTATAGAATCTGTGATGGATAATATATACATTACAAGCATAAATGTACACGATTACATACTTCGCATACCAAACGACTTCTAATAAAAACAGGTATTATTATTGATTATATCGATAAATAATATTTACGTATTCTGATAATAAATGTAACATATGTAAGCCGAGTAAATACTAGCGCAAACCAAACGAAGAGTCGTCTACAGGAGAATTGAAAACAAAAGAACCTAACAGTCTACAGTAGTTTTGACTCTTGTGTTTTAAATGTGCCTTTAGGCATAAGTGGATACCTTAGGATCGCCAATATAACCTAACATAATCTATGCATATACAGGGTTGGCTACATTTAGTGGAACCATCTGGTAACACTGCAACTTTGACAATAAATGTAAGAATAAGTGATAATAGCATATCTAAAACTATAGATATATATATTGCTATTTATCGGTACATACCAGTCCAACGCACTTAAGCCCATAGGAATTTGTGGCAAAAAATCATTATGACTTTTTATTATGATGAGTAGTATTTCATGTTAAAGGCAACCGTAAACAAACAAAATTGTCAGTTCTATGTCATGGAAAACCCTCAAATTACTGAAAAAGCACAGTGTGGTGTGGAGTTTGTGATGTTATGTTTATAGGACCATACTTTTTCGAAGATGTTATTGACAAAGCAGCAAACGAACAGGTGCATTATCGGGATATGATAACAGATTTTTTGATGCCAATTGATTGTAAAAATGAGCCAACCCAGTATATATACATATGTTTAGATTTGTATATTTGTACATAGTTCGCTCCAAGAATAGTTTTAAATCACATTGTTATAAATACTAGGACTTTTCATTCAATAAATAGTTAGAATATTTAACAGAAAATGCTTTCAAAGTGGTATCATTGTTTTTTGACAAATACTTTTGATAGGCAACAGTTCAATCTTTATATATTTTGCAGAATAAGAAAAAAAATAATTTGGTTCAATGATTAAATAACTTAGGCATTGTAATTAATTGATCACTTTTAAATATTACAGCAATATAATATACGTATTACTCCTACTAATAAACCAAAGAAGCAAGTAAAATAAATGTCGTCAGATATTATTTTTTACTAAATGCGTAGTAATTCGCATGTTTTCAAAATACGTATTATTTTCGAAAAAAAAAAAAAAATTAAAAATAATTAAATTAATTCGACTTACGAATTATATTATTGCATGTTTGTATAAATATGTTAGGCAAATTCATATGCCAAATTGCAAGCTAAAATCTACTTATTAAGTATACAAAAAATATAAAATATAAAATTATAAAATATATATGGTAAGTTGTTTAATATAGGGACATATATTGTGGAAGATTTTAGTCAGCTACAACAAGACTTTTTCTAAAGAACATCGTTAGCTTTATTAAATAATACATAATAAGTCAACAGGCCTAAGTAAATCTCATCGTAAAAATCAAATTTAACCATACATAACCTATATTTTGAACCTAAGCAAAATTTAAGTGTTCTAAATTCTATAGTATATACTATGTAATAGTATAGTTTAAAATTCTACAAGTGTCTAGAAAGCCCGATTGTTTTAGTCCTTTGGTAACAATAGAACTGCGACAACTCCATTGGTGTTGTAAAGACCACTTGGCTATCGATATTAAAAAGTAACTTTGAGATATACACTAACTTCTAAATTTCTATAGCACTATTTTATAGCATGGTTGAAGTTCCATCAGTTTTTAGACAATCTGCTCTAGAAGGTTTAGAAAGTTCGCTTTTCTTATAGAAACATGTCTTAAAAAAAATTAATAACAAACAAATTAAAAACTTATTTCAAGTTGGCTGTTTAGTTAATTTTGTTACACAAAGAGAACTAAATTTATCAAATATATATTGATAAAATATTTACAAAAGATAATGTATCTTTGACTAGTACAAATCCGTTCGACACAACTGCGAAATATGTCACTTTACATAAACGCTTCAGCTGTTCGATATTTTCAGCTTTGTTCAAAATTTAATGCACAAAACCATCAGACAAAATATGGCCTTTTTGTCTTCTTCAGATAAAATATATTTTTCATCTTGAGAAAATCACTTTTCGTAATGACGTTTCGATATGCATAATTATTTATATCTCTATATAATATGTATATTAATGCAAGATATGTATATATTTAATTGCCAAATTCCTATGCTGAAATCATTGTAAGAATGGTGTAAAAGCAACTACAATATATACATACATACAAATTTAACTAAATCAAATCAGCTAAATCATCTTAAAAATCATGATTCTGTACATTGCCAAAATAGTAAAGTATTAATAAAAAAGAGCAATAAAATCACTTAAGAGAACTAGGTTCTTAGATTGGTAAAATCTACATGCTAAAGTCACTCGTTTATTCAAACGACCAGCACACCTTTCCCAATAAAAAATCGACATGTTTGGTCCTTATATGAGATACAACAACTATAATATAAGAACACGAATTGAACATTATCAAAATTAATTTTGGACTACCTACAATGAAAAACAGTGCAATAGGAACGTTAATATATACATTTTTATATATTATTTTTATATTATAAAAACTGCGACCTATATAAATCTATTATACATAACGTCAATATTTTCTCCAAAAACTCATAAAACTGCTTTAGACACCTACAAAAATTTTCCGAAAACTCTTTCGTAGCTTAATAAAAAACCTGAACGATTAATATCTAATATAATGTAGTGTGTTCTTGATTAATAAACAATATGGGTGGGCCTTTAACAGACTTGTTTTTTTGATGATTAGAAAATGAATAAGGACTTTTAACGCCTTGATGGAAAAACTCAGCACTATGATATCTATGATGACTTGTCCCTGCGTTCTAAGACGACATGCTTTGAGCCTGGATCTACCGTATAATCACTTTTGTTTTGGTTCTAGTTCTGCGAATGAAGAGAAAACTGTACTCCATCTTATGTGAGATGTCTATTGGATAGGAGACAATTTAAAATATTTGGGCCCCCTTTCTTTCCGAACTGTCACACTACAAAATTACGCGCTTGACCAACGCTAACCCATATTACTAGCGACCTTTATATGAGCTTATGTGGATTTTGGGCAAAATCCCGCCCCTCTAACCTAACCTAATACTGTATTCACACGAGGGTTTTAATTGTAATTTTAGCTGTAATTTCAAATTATTCTTGATTCTGATAGCAAAACAAGTTCAAATCAAGAAGATTTGTATGGTAATTTTGACAGCTGAAAATAGATTTAATTCGTAATTTCTACAAAATTAAGTTGATTTTAATTTGGACAGTTGACCGTAATACAATATTGTACAGTACAAACTTCTGCTATTATGAATAGTTTTGTGGAATGAATGAAATTTTCATTCTTAAATGTTATTGATCAGACTTACATCTGATCAATAAATTTGACAATCAAATTACAATGAACGTCGTGTGAATCGATATTCTCGCTTTTTGATTTCAGATATCAGTTTAAAATTTTAGACAGCTAAAATTACAATCAAAATTTTCATGTAAATTCCGTATAACGACCATGTTATGTAGAGTGTTATAAGCTCGTCCATATTGGTTTTTTGGGTTTTGAAGAAAAACCATGTTATACAGAATCTCACAGAAATTATAATAATATGCTTTCAAAAGACACAAATGTTCATATTTATTACTGAATAACAATTCTCTACCTAAGTGACGAGGCACAGGTAGCATCGGATCTCATGACCCAATTTGTACCGACATATTGTTTCTACTCTTACACTTCATTTTATAATTTATATTGAAAACAACAACAAATTTGCAGATGGCGGCGTGTTCATGACGCTCTACATAAAATGGACCTTAGCAACAGACCTATTAAAACTATTTTATAATGAAATATGTTTAGATATAACTACATTATTATCAGTACATTAGCATAATAAATATTTAAAGTATTGAAAATGACACAAATCGTCGGGCATATATCTAAAGGCCCTCATTTTTAGATCAAACGTATTGCTATCAATTCACAGAATTCATATTAAAAATATTGAATTTTGCATAAATAATATTTTCTAACTTCTTTATTTTTGGTATTACAATAAACTGGTATTGCACTAGCACTCATTCATGCCCTCCACTTACCTTGAGAACGTTATTGATATCATCAATAATCTCACGTTGGTGTTGTACAATTTCGTCGGTGGTCAACACTTCATATTGAAACTCTTCGGTGTCGTTTTGGCGCTCATGCGATGTGGGAATGTCAACCTCCATAGCGAAGTCATCGTCACCCTCATCACCTGACGACACATTGCCAGAGTCAACATTCTCAATCTCGAAGGAGTCGTCATCAGATTCCATATTCCTTGTTTATTTCTTAAATTTTAATAGATAATTTTCAGAATGAAGCTTTAAAACGGCAGTGGCTGCAAAAATAAAAACAAAATTATATGAAAAATAAATTGAAGTGAAATTGTGAATGAAGAAAAGAAAACGATTGTCTAATAAATGAAAAGAAATACAAAAAAAAATAACACAAACACCACTATGAAGCTGTCAATTTCGGTGACAAGTGTAATGTGGAAGCAGCAGCAATAGCACCACCAATAACACGAGCAGCAGCAGCAGCAGCGGTAGCAGTAGCACAAACAATAACAAACATGAGAGGTAACAAAATATAACAGCAGTTACAAAAACAAAATCACTAAAAAAAAGTAGACGTCACTTGACCTTGTTCAAGTTTTCTGCAATTTGCCTCTTCTATATTCTCTGCTTTGCACTTATATTTGCCCTCACATTGTTTTCTGTTTTGTGTTTTGGTTTTTTTTTTGTTTTTTGTGATTTTTTAGTATTTCATGCCATTCAAATGTATTTATTATTTTGTACTTGATATTTTACATTTTACTTTATTTTTTTTTAAATAAATTTTCACAAATAAGATAAATTGGTTGTTAGCCTGTTTTCTTGTTTTTCTTTTAAAAGTTTTCGCGTTGTTTAGTTTGCTTGCTGCTGCTGCCATTACCCATCACCCACCACCAACTCCCCCTCATAATAATTCATTATAAAGCACTCGCGCGAGAAAACTTACTACATACCAAATTTCTTTGTGTTCAAATTAATTTACGTATTTGATGAAAAAAAAAATTAGTAGCGAACTAAATTTTAAAATGGTTTATTTTTTTGTTCCTTTTGGTGGAAATAAATATAAAATTAGAAACACATTTTTAAAAAAAACTGATTAATCCAAATGTTAAATAAAATAATTTAGTTTATACTTCATATCGCATATGTAGTTATTTTATTTATTCAAAGAATAGACGATTAAATTATTTTACCTTAAGCAAAATGTTCAAAATTTAACTATTTAAAATTTGGTTGTTTATATTTTAATTATTTCCGAAAAAAAACTACCAATATATTACAGAATTACACATGCACTTCAACGCTGAATGATTTTAGGAAGAAAACTGACCATGAATTCAACTTAAAAAATTGAAACTAAAAAAAAAACAATAACAAAAAATTCTTTTACATGCTATGCGCAAGTACAAGGGAATTTGAATATGACAATATAGTGTTGTTTCAGTCATACATCAAGCAATGAAATAAAGGAAAAACGTCAAATTAAAAACAAAGATGTTAGGGTTGCCAGAGGTATTAAAATTATTTTTAAGTTTTTAAGCTGCTATTTATTTATTTATTAAAAATGATGGTTTAGTTTATAAAACTAATATTAACATGTATAGATATAGCTTTGGCTGCTGAAGCCTTCAGCTATATGGTGAAGTTTTTATTTTTATAGTATGTAATTAACACATACGTTTACAAATTTGTTAAAAATTCATAATACGACTATTTTGTACAGTATAATTTATAGTCTATTATATTAACTATATTTCTTAAGTTTGCTTTATTGTTAGCTTTCATTTAAGCTATTCTGTGGGTCTTTTCCGCAACTGTGCAAACTGGAGTGTACACAAAAATTTGCTTACATTTTGATTTTGCTAATTCTCAACCGTGAATAGTGAGTTCTTCTGTCAAAAAATGCACATTTTTCACAAATTTTATTCAACGTGTATTTGACCTTGAATTTAAAAAAAAAAACAGGGAATTTTGTGCAAAATACAATATAAAAATTTATTATTATTTTTTTATGGGTTTTAAAAATGGTAAAAAGCAAGCAAAAGGAGTAAAGTTTGTACTCAAATATCAATATCGAATTTTTTAACGTTAATAAAATTTTGAAACTTGTTATAAGAACTGTAAAAAAATTATAAAAATATAAAATAAAAATTTTTAATATAATAATAAATTAAAAATTATAATTAGCAAAATGTCCGCCATTTGAGCTTATTCAGTGTAAATACAAATTTCTTCACTGACAACTGTCAAAAATGCATTCAGCACTTCATAATTTTAGATTCAGCACAAAAAACGCACTAGCACTTGGGGAATACCATTTTACAAGAAAGTGTAAACTGCGGTGAAAAATGTGTTTTTCGTTTGCGTGTACACACAATTGTTTTTACAGTAGCGAAATAGAACCCCTGGTCTCTGTACTGTAATACAAGCAAAAGTCAATTTTATCATCCTAACCCGACGTTCCGTGGATTTTTGCTAACATTTTCAGGGATACCTAATTAATTTAGCTTAATTATATTTTTGAATGTCAGCATATTGATATTTTTTCGCCGCACAAAATAGTTTTTCGATCGAAATGCATAAAAAGTAATTAACCATTTATCACAAACTTAATACATTAACCGATTACAATAAACTGTTAACTAATAAAACCATTTTTTTAATGATTATATGAACATTTTTTATTTAGTTACTTTGTCTTTTTTGAATTTTTATTAACTCCGTATTTACTATTAAAACAATTAACAAATGAAAATACTTGCAATCAGCTGATTGATATAAGAGATATAAACAAGCACTTCATGACAGCGAATGGGAATTTCTACATGTATTTTATCACGTTCTATTTATATATTTTAGTTCATAAATTATCAAACAAACAAATTCAGAAAACTATAACTATTTAATAATAATAACTATTTAATTTCTTTATCACACACTCCGTTATAAGTGGTTTGCAGCACAAAATATTTTTACTGTAAACTTAATTGTTTTACTTTACTTTTACTTTAATTAACATAATTTTAATAAATTTTAATTTATTAAATTTCTATGCGTGCAACTAAAGTTTGCAAAAATTTCCTAGTTTATATGTTTATAAAATCTTGAATTATTTTTTACTTTTTTCTTACTGGGATTGTTTTAATAAAAATATAAGGAATGTGCAATTACAATAATTTTCAATTAGAAAAACGCATTTTATCAGAGGGCAAAATTTCAACCATAAATACACGCAATTTGGACTTCACAATTTAAAAAATATATGCAAAAAAAAATTTTATTTGTACATTTTAAGGCATTTATATTTCATAACACTAATACACATGCACTAAGAAGAATGACACACGAATTTTTATTTGATTAACATTCGATTTTAAATAAAAATTTATTCGTGTACATTTACTCACTAATTATACCAAATGCATTTATATTATATATATTGATTTCAAATTATATTCAATCAGACTAATTATAACCTTTTTAGCCACACACAAGTAATTTTGTTGTTCACATACGCAACGCAACGATGGTTTCAATGCGACGTAATTTTACATATTATATTTGCCCATTTTACTTACTTTTTCTTATTGATATTTCACGTTAAATTTGCACAAAATTTAAACTTATTTTATTGCCACGAGATTATTGTTTTAATTTGAAGAACGATTATCAATAATCATTTCAAGTCGAATGGGATCATAGCACTATTGTCCAAATTTTACTGTTTCCTTGTTTTTTGTTAAAATAACATTTTACTACTGGCCAAAACGAGAAGAATATATTGAATTACAAAAACAAACTCTTTATTATGAACAATGTCAGAAAAAAAATAAATTAGATGAAGAAATGTCAAAAATTTAATTTAGGCAATGGTATGTTCAATCAATATGACTGCAGGGTTGTATTGCATTAGAAAAAAGTGTTGGAAAATTAAAATTTTAAATAAACATTTTAAAGATGGAGTATGCATATAATAATATGTTATTAATATGCAATTAAAAAATTTATATGGATTTTTATATGAAAGCATGAAAAACCTTCTTAGATATGTATATGTAGGTCACACTTTTATATTTTAAATAAATATGGATATGTCACTGGGCATAATCTAAACGCGCCTTTCTTTTTTTTAGCTCGTAGTAAATATTACTTACTGTAATTCGTACTTGACAGAATGTAATAATACAAATAAATTCCAAAAAAAATTTACAACTTATTTATATAAATTAGATTTAACAGAAATGACTAGTTCAGTGTTTAGTTGTGTGGTTTATAATATACAATATATATATCATTTATCATCCCTTAGAATTGAATTATGAATTAAAAATATAAAAAAATATTGTTGTTTAATTGGTTAAAAATTTAATTATTAAATTTAAAAATATATAGCATAATTGAAGTGTTGTATTGTTTTAATATTATTTGATTGTTGTGAAATTAATATGAGTTCGAGTAAATTGAGGTAAAGTAAATTGAAATTTTCTAGTAATTTTTTGCACATTTATTTAAATATTTATTTATTTATTTATTGCACTTAATTATTTTGGTTAAGTTTTCAATTTTATTTATTAAACATCTTATGTTTACAATGGTAACACCTAATTTACCTAATTTTTATCCAATTTACGGTACTCGAAATTCTGGTAAATACCAACGTTCGCTGCCATTCCGACATAATTTACTATTTCTCTCAATTTACCATCAATTTACTCGAACTCGCACACGGCCTTAGTAGTAAATTGAAATGGGTAGAATAACGGCAAGCCACAGTTTATGCATTTCAAAAAGTGTTACAATATGTAAAACGTGGCCTATCAATGTTTTATATAACGATTCATGTTTTATATATAACATATAATAATACATAAAAACTGTAAATAAAAGGGAGTTAAAGATGTTTATAAATTTTTGTAAATAAGAACACCATTTATAACTAGTTCTTAAATTATTTATAATTACAAAATGTGTTTGAATAACCATTTTTATTAATAAAAAGTTTTTCTACATGTGTTAATTCTAAAACTTTTATATTTCTCTTCTCCTGGCTTACTGGATTTGGGTCTTATGATTTAAGCGAACTTTATAAATTCGTATATTTTTAACACGTTTGTATATACATGTAACAAGAGAAATAAACTTCTAAATAAATTTCTTGCATTAAGAACGGATTGACATTGTTTTTATCATAAAACTTATATCGTAATCGTATATAATACTGTAATCACTTATATCATAGCTTTATTGTTACGTTTTTAAAAGGTTCTTTATGACTTCATTAAGTAATTCTCGAAAAAATTTAGCTCTAGCTATTATTTTTGAAACAAAGAATGTTCGAATACTTTTTGCGATCTTATGAGTCCATCTTCACTTTAACAAACTAAGTGAGAGGAGCGCTCTGGATTCAGCTTCAACCTGCAAAAACCGAGTGATACTTTTATAGATTGATTTCAACTCTCACATTCCAAAAAAGAATTGACAAACGTGGGTCAAGCATCCATTAACCATCATGTAGATGTATAAGGTAGAATTGATCTTATAATTCTATTATATGTAGTGCTGTTATGGTGCGTCACTATAGTCAAATAATCTAAAAAAACACAATTGATTACAGTTCAAAGGGTCACAGGCATTTGTATAAAGTGTTGAGTACTACTTATACGGATGATTTCGATATCATAAATGATCTTACACCCATTGATTTTACGAGCATGTAAGTAGCCGCACAATCAGGTCTTAAGAAGAATATATAACGGTAACAGAGTGATAACGGACATGCTCCCATACCCAAGAAACTGGTACTCAACGTAGTACGTACTAACTACTGAACAAGTTTTAATACAATACTATAATTATTAACGTATAGTCCTTTTCGATGGAATAATAAGCAAATAAAGGTACTCACCGTTTTAAATATAGGAGTGGATTTATATTGAGTAACCGGGTGATGGTAGGAAACTATTAGCACAGCCTGAATTTAGAAAGTTACTTCCATTTACCAGATTACTGCAGAACATTACAGGCGCAAGTACTTGCATTTAGGAGGAAGTATTTCTGACATGCTTCACAGCTCAGATATGCATATACTGAGATAGCTAATTAAAGCAGTCATAAATTTCCGAAAATCTTAACGAAATCCTGATGTGAGTGCAAACAGGTCACTGTTTGATAGGCAGATACATTACTATACTGAGAATTTTGTATAATAAATTTTGTAGAAGCTGCCATGACAAGGAAGAGAGGATTTATAAAGATCTGGTTGTATCACAAGGAACTAATAGCCGCAGGTGTGTTTCAGGTTCATGGCGACAGTCACTTACCTAACAAAACTAATAATTACATAACTGAATGATTAATAAATAATATATAATAGACTATAGCAATAAAAAAATTCAATTAATTTGTTTTGATTTATTTTCATTGTCATTAATTTCTGTTTCACAATAATTCATTTCATTCCAAAACAGATGTTGTAATTAAAACTTCTAGATTATAATAGATTAGTTTGTAAGTTACAGTCATTTTAAATGGTGTTGGTATGCACTGCCTTTCAAATCATTAAAATAATTTTGCAGATAATGTTTAATATATTTTAAAAAAATTTATCCTAATGTTAAAAAGTATGACTAACTTATGTACTTATTTAAATAGCCATAATTAGCTATTGCAGGGCTAGATCTAACGCAAGATTAACACAAGAAATATCGTACAATATTTCTTCTCCGAGCTATTCTTATTGAAAGTTCTACAAAAAAAAACTCTTTTTACCAAAGTATAGTCTTTCATTCTCAAGATATAAAGAAGACAACTTAGTTCAACAACATCAATGTGAAGATAGAGAATAATTATTTCATGAATAATAACAATCGCTAAATAACCATCGCCCATCCTAAGTAGACCAAAAATATTACGAAGAGGCTTTCTCTTGAACATTTTCAGTCAAGTTTAATCAACTCTTTCTAACTGCTCCATTTAGAAGTATCAGTTGAATGAGTGACGAATTGTTCGATAAGATCGTACTTGGATATACTCTCAATATTAATTCTTCAAGGGATTTCCAGAGTGGCATAGAATACAAACACTTGCGGTTTCGACAAATTGGAGAAAGTCAATGAGTTGTTTCAAAAAAAATAACTTTTTAGAAGGCGATCGCAATATTATGTCATAAAAAGTTGTTATGACACAACATTGTTAAGGTGTGTCATTTGTGATGATTATCACAGCACAGAATCTTTTAATTTTTGAAGAATGAAAAAAAAACCAGTTGTGCGCAGCGATTAAACGCCTACGCATGAAAGGATTAACGTCAAAAAAAAGCGAAAACCAAATTAAATAATTTTTATAACACACAAACTTAAACGTGGTCGTAGATCTACTTGTAAAAGTGGTGTACCCAGGTGGGATTGGGAAATAGACCTTGACAATATAATCTTCAGATAGTGCACCACAAAAATACTGGCTAACTACGCCATTGGCTTGTAATGCATCTCATTCCGGTTGTCTAATTGAAACTGCTACACCAAAAATTTACTTTAAGGTCCACAATAATGTTTAAACTGATCGAGAAGTAAAAATATGCAAGCTTTCTATGCCTAAGGTACATTGAATAGTAGAATATTCAATTTTCTCTCCACAACTAGGCATGAAAAATTTTTAAGTTGAAACTGTGTACTTGGTAGGGTCAGGGGTAGGTACAATTTTAGTAATTAAAAAAAAGCAATTTATAGATGTCATTTAACAATCATACATTAATAATGCATGTACGTATATATAAATATAATGCTTTGATTCACTTCGGTGACTACGTGCCTGGTGTAACCAGGTTATTCCAGCTGAATATCTGCCTCAATTTATTAGTGTTGTAATGACTCTGTTAATTACAACCGAGTTAAAGAAATAGTCAAATCAATAGACTTCAAGAGATGGGAGATTTCCGAAAAACACCTGGTCTGTTAAGTCGATTGCAAAGGTATCGATCACATATTTATCAATGCATACGATCAAGGGTGATTACTACACAGTCCAATAACTCGTTTCAACAAAATCTTAAAGAACGAGCATTTACACTTGGATAATGAAAGCATATTCTTTTGTTTAGATAATGCATGGGTACACATGCATATAATCAGCATGAAATGTAATGAATTTAGCTGTAAAACTGCTTCACAACCCAGGATATTTGCAAGATTTAGCCACCTCTGAATGTTTCCTATATTCAAATCTTAGTAAACGTTTAATAAAAAGAAATACCTCCATAGAGCTGCTAACTGATGTGACAAAATACTTTCCCTTATACTTATCCAGTACCTATACATGAAAAGTTATAAGAAGAAACTATTAGAAACTGAAATATATTATATTGTATTATTATTTCCATACTCCATTAGGAGCTTAAGGAGTCTACAAAAGTTTTCCACTATTTTCTATTTTGTGCTATTGCTCTGAATTTAAACGATTTGCCCGTCTCCTGCTGAAATGTTTTCTCCAGGTCATTGCTGGTCTGATTATATTGTATAATGCGGTTTTCAATATAACACAGCAAGTTAACACAGCAAAAAATTGACAAAATTATCGAAATACGAACCTGGGTCTGGTGAGTCTGGGTTTCAAATTTGACAAGGTTCCAATTTAATTATTGACACTTGCAGTCGTATGTTAAAACAGTTGTTTTCAATAAACATTTCCAAAGATAAGTAATGATGGGTAGTTGTTAGAAACCGAGATAGCTATATGGCCAGTTTTTTCCTCAGAAGCTAGGTCAAGAGCTACATGGCCACAGTAATCCAAGTATAGAACCTTCGACTTGGTACACGAAAG